AAATGCTATTACTGTTCCTACTATTATTATTATCACCATTAGCACTATCTTTATTATTTTTATTACTATTGTTATTGTCGTCACTACTATTATTGTTGCCATCATTTGATTATAATATTATCAATATTAGATTTTTATTATCACTTTTATTAAAATAAAACTAAAAAATGAATATAAATTTTTGTATGTTATATCACTTATTTATTTATATTCATAGTAAATATAGTGAAGTAAAAATTTTATTTATAAAATCTAACTAAATAGCCAAACATAATATTAATATATTTTTCAAAAGTTTATTGGTTTGTTATGAATAGCCAAAAAAAAAAAAAAGAAAAAAAAAAGCTATTCAAATTGTTCTCCCACAATTGGGTTTTTTCCCTCTTCAAAACTTTTGTATGATAATCAATAATATAATAATTTAGTGATTAATATTTTTAATATTATATTTAAAAATTACGAATTTAAATATTATTAAAAAAATATAATTAATTATTTAATAAATATAATGTAAATTCATGTTATTAGTTTTATAATGTTTAATTTAATATAATCATAACTTAGTTAATTAATATGTTTATGGATTGTATCGACTAAGTTTAATTTATTATTTTTTGGGCAAAAAATGTACTTTATATTAATTAAAAGTTTTTAATTAAAATAATAACAATGGTTTAAAAACACCTCTTAGTCTTTTTAATTTATATAAAAAAACTTTTGTACAACAGCATGTTGGGGTGCGGACTGGGGTGGACGCCAAACGCATCGTTTTGTCGCAGGAATTTTATCCGGTCTTAAATTTCTGGTGTCGCCTCGGCATTTCTCATTCGCACTCCCGCAAATTTAGTGACTCAAAGCTGAGAGATGGCTTCTACTGCTCATCTCTCGCTCCTCTCCAAATTTTCACCTGTTTTCTTCTCCAATCCCCAGTTCACTCCACCCTTTAAGTTAACTACGAAACGAACTGAAGCTTCCCGGTTCAGATGCTCCGCTGGTCAGACCGGCTTCTTCACGAGGCTAGGCCGACTGATAAAGGAGAAGGCCAAGAGCGACGTCGAGAAGATATTCTCCGGATTTTCTAAAACTAGAGAAAATCTCGCCGTAATCGACGAGCTCTTGCTCTATTGGAACCTTGCCGACACCGATAAAGTTCTTGACGAGCTGGAAGAGGTTGCAATTCGCACCTTTTTGTATTTTATCTAGAAAATGACTTCTACAAATTTCCCGGAAAGCAGAAGGTTTAGCTTGATCTTGCCAAGTTAATCGATTTCTGCTTTTCATCCTCGTTTCATTGTTATATTCTTTACAGTACATTATCGTCGAAATAGTTGTCTTGGAAAATGGTTATAGAGGTTAACTTTGAAGGATGGCTGTCTAAAGCTAATAATAATATGTTTCGGGAGATCAGAACTAAGAATGTGTTGTCATTGCAGGCGTTGTTGGTGTCTGATTTTGGGCCTAAAATCACTATTAAGATTGTGGAGAGCCTGCGGGAGGATATACTGGCTGCGAAGCTTAAATCAGGAAGTGAAATAAAGGTTCCTGAAGCCTGAACTTGTTTATTTTTGAGTTTCCTTCTCTGTTCCATTGCAGACAAACTGTATGAGGAATAAGAGAAGATTCACATGCATGTGCCTGCTTTCTTGAGAAAATTGAACTTGACTTGGCTAACCCCATTTTATCTGAATCATGTAGCTAGCTTATTTTATGGCATTTTAGTCTCAAGAAATGATAATACCTCATCTGAAAGTCGATCTGTATTAGTGCTTAGCCCTTAACTGGGAGAAGACTCCTTCATTTTCTTCTGTGATGTGAATATTGAGAAATGTGAATTATGGAGGATGTAGGATGCTTTGAAGAAGAGTGTGTTGGATGTCTTGACTAAGAAAGGAAATAAGACGGAACTTCAACTTGGATTCAGGTTGTGGATTACTTAGGTCTTCATTTTTTTCTGTTTTGATTTACTCTTTTGTGCACTGCGGGCCTCTATCTAATTTCACCTGTTGTTTTATTTCATCTTATTAGAAAACCAGCTGTAGTTATGATTGTTGGGGTCAATGGAGGTGGGAAGACAACGTCTCTTGGTAAGATACTGAACTGATGTGGTAACACATTTCCTACCTTTATCAAGCTAAAACAAAGTGTGAAATGGAAGCTAACAAAGCAAAATGCTAACATTTGGAGAACCATAATAGACAATAATTTAGACAGTTATCTTTCTAATAGGTTTCTTTATAAAGATAGTGGATGTTCTCTTTAATATATATTTTTTTCTACATGTAAACTTCTCTTCCCTTTTCTTTTTAAGTTTCATGCGGGGAGGTTTTGGGATTTTATTTGATCTGTTTTCACTATCCTAGACTGTGCTTCATGTTAATGATCCTTGCTTGTTTTCTTGTTATATGAGAATAATTATCTGAATATGATCAATTGTCGACTTGCAGGAAAGCTGGCTTATAGATTAAAGAATGGAGGAGCAAAGGTGAGCATTCATGTATATGTGCTTAATTTTGCTTCATGGAGATAGCTGTCTTATAGATATATAGCGAAAAAGGTGAAATATGATATTCTTGTGAGAGCCTGAGCTATGATTAATATAACATGAATTTTGTAGCAGTAAACTATGATGAGAAGACATTAGTATAATGGTTTCTCAACATTCTAGCCCGTAGAATAATAATTCTGTTCTTGAACCTTGAGAAAGATCATTAAGCAAATACTAGGAAAAGGGTGCTGCAATTTTAGGGGTGTAGGAGGTCGGTATGATATATACACCTTTTTTTTTTTCTTTTTTCTCTGGTATACTGGTGTATGCAGGGTGGTTATCTTAATGACTTAAGTGTATGTAGTGGTGGTAGGGAGATTGCGTATTAATTGAGACATGTTTTTCCATCTCCTTCCTCATATTTCAGAAAAGCATAGCTTATTGATTGCCTCGTGGTTTGAAATTGTGAAAGGTATTGATGGCTGCTGGTGATACATTTAGAGCAGCTGCTAGCGATCAGCTGGAAATATGGGCAGAGAGGACAGGGTGTGAGATTGTTGTGGCTGAAAGAGAGAACGCCAAGGCATCATCAGGTAGAGAAGTAAAATGTCTAATGATGTCATTCCGTTTTCTTTTAGTTAAATTTCAGTCACTTTGTATGGTTACTGACATGTGGTCTTAAAGTGCTTTCTGAATAGTTCTTTCACAGGCTGTAAAAAGAGGGAAAGAGCAAGGTTTTGACGTTGTTTTGTGTGATACATCTGGACGTAAGTGTTACTGTGTTAGGGACTTCCACTGCTTGCTCTTAGCAGGCGCTTTTAAACTGATTGTTCTTTATTCCAACTCTTTATTTATTATGTCAGGTCTTCACACTAATTTCAGCCTGATGGAAGAGTTGATAGCATGCAAAAAAGCTGTGGGCAAGGTCATTCCTGGTGCACCTAAAGTAAGCTTATTGTCTTAAATTTTTACTATCACATTCTTATTCAAATGTTTTAATATGGGTTTTATTGGCTTACCATTAACTCTCCAGATGCGTAAGTACACTACACTATTTGGCACAGAATTTTCATCCTCAATTTTTGAACAATAGTTCCAATGCCCAGGCTGTTTAATTGGTTATGACTTATTCTGCTGACAAATTATTCTATAAAATACAAATGGATAGTAAAGTCACCTTAAATTCTTAATTTTTACTTTCTGAAATATTCCTTTTTAGAGTTTTCTAAGACAGTTGCATGTCATTTGCAGGAGATTCTACTTGTCCTTGATGGAAATACTGGTTTGAATATGCTTCCACAAGCAAGAGAGTTCAATGAAGTATGGTTTCCTATATTTTGCATTATATTATAGATAATTGGGTAACAATTGCATGTGAATCTGTAATTGAAGGGGAAAGCTTGGCATAACATATAATAGTTTAATTTTTACAAAAGTTTTCTCCAAGCTTTGCATGTAAATTTTGGGGGAATTACATGTTCTCTCTCTTGCATTATCGATTTGGCAACTTCAGTACTAAATACAGTTACTTCACCTCCATCTTCATCGACTCTTTTATTATTAAGATCCTAATTTTCTTGGGAACCAAAGAAACCATTGGTATGATGTCAGTCTTCTTTTCCAAATGAAAAATTTTCTTCACTAAGGCAAAAGATTGAGGGAATACTCTTGTTCCATCATAACAATGGAATTGTATCATGAGATTTTATCACAACTTTGGCCTGCATCAAGGAAGGATCCTTCTGCCCTTTTCCCTCCACAGTTTGATACCTTATGTTGTTCAGTCATCTATATCATGTTGTTTCCTATCTTTGCATGACAAAACAGCATCAGAATTCCAGCTTTTGCATCTGTATATATCATGTGTCCAAAATATTAACTCATTGAATTAGTTTTCTTTTTAACAGAGTTCTGTATAATAAATGATAGCTGCCATGTAAATTATTGAACTTTATCCTCTCTCTTTCAACCATAATTCAATATTTTCTAATAATATTTTTTCTTTGATTAAAAAAAATTCTTTTCCAGGTTGTTGGAATAACAGGTTTGATCCTGACAAAACTTGATGGGTCTGCCAGGGGTGGTTGTGTGGTATCTCACAATTTTCCCTTTTCTTCTCTCTTTAAAAATTATTTAAGTGTTCTGTTTTCCATGAATTTGTTTTTCAGTGTATTCATTCCTCTGATAGGTCAGCGTAGTTGATGAACTTGGCATCCCAGTGAAGTTTGTGGGCGTTGGTGAAGGTGTAGAAGACCTTCAACCCTTCGATGCAGAGGCATTTGTTAATGCTATATTCTCATGAGGCCTAAAATGTGCTTAGTATGTAACACAGGTAAATGAATTTGTCTGTTTTAACCATGGATCCTTCCGAAGTTTTCTTACTTTAGTCACCTTACATGTGTAGAAGTAAAACTTTGCTACCAAATCGCAGAAAGCATTAGATATGATGGCTGCTTTTTGACAGGAATCATCAAAAGTTAGTTTTTACTTTCATAAATTTAAAAAATATACTAATTGGCTATTTTGCATCTCATTCTGAGTACTTGCACCCATTTTAGCCTTTGAGTTTTATATGCACTTTTTCTTCTTTTTGATTTGGGGTTTTATCTGCACTTTCAAACTGAAAGAAGAGAAAACCTGCGATTTAACATGGGATACAGCCGCTAGATCTATTCAATTAAAAGCCATCTTGGAAACAGAAAAAGAATGCAAATAGAGAAGTTTGAAAAGCAAATGTAATAACATAGACATTTGAACCCCTAATCAACACGTTAATTAGTTACCTTTTCATATTCTGAAAAAATAAATGTTGAGCAGTTCCTTTTGGTTGATAATTTTTTGTTTACTGGAGAAATACCTTTATTACTGCATTGATTATTCATCATGCAGCTTTGCATTGTGCATTTCCTGTACCAAGTTCTTTTCATGGATTAAAAATTTGGCTCGAAGTTTCTGATGACGCTTCAACCATCAGCCTTCTAGAGCGTAAGAGTAGGCGGTGATACTTTATTCATAACGTTAGCAAGCGACAAAAGGATGATTTGCTTCTGGTATACATCTCATGGTTGGCAAATTGGAAAATATTTTTGCCGTTGGCAGTTCCTTTCATAAGGTATCTGCTGGGTCTTTTGCTGGTCCTTAACAAGCAGACAAAGATGAGGGTACTGTAGAGTTCAGAGGCTTTTAAATCTATTCTGGACATATTTCCAGGGTGTTTCTTAATTTATATCAGCTGTTCATAGCAGTTTAGTTATTGTAATCACATTGCTTGAGTTTCAGTAGTTTCAATGTGTTAATTCGGTTCAAGAGTGTTTCAGACTTTCTTTTGGTGATTTGTAAAGTGAGGTTAGAAGCTTATAGAACCTACATTATTCTACTGTGCTAAACGCAGAGATAACCAATAGAAAGATCTCTCTCTATTTTTCTTCGGAAAAACAATCTAAAGGTCATTATTAGGACGTGAATCCGGAATTATTGTCATATAACAAAAGTAAGCCACCAACTGCACTTGTTTCTGCAACAAAAAAGCTGCAGAACAGATGTACATAATTAAATATTATGTTATGGCAATGTTTTGGAATAAATTCAAAAATATTACAGATATGTACAAAATCACAGTTAATTCATTAAGTAGTTGTAAATTATGCTAGGATGATGAAATAATTTGGTAAAATTTAGATTTTGTTGTTTTAATTTTGTTTGCCAATAAATTTCTAACAGATTTTAAATTTGTTTTAAATATGGCCTTAATGATTGTAACTTTTTTTTTTTTTTGAATTGAGTGATTGGTACTTTTGAGTTTGGACCTGGTAAAAGAAAGACAAAATTTAACTAGTAAAGATCATGTTTATTTCATTTCAAGTTACGAGACTGACCAATGCCTTGTCATGTAAGAAGTGCATCCCGTGACCAGCGAGCTTGCATGGTACCTAGTCTTTGTGGTGTTTGATCGCCTTGAGATGAGGCTTTGCGGTGAGCAAATATTAATTTATAGATCAAATTCAAATTTGTTTGTCCTGACATCAGGCTGCAAAATTCCCATACAAATTTCTTAGCACCGGTATGAGTAGCATATGGGGATTAAGTGATTGGGTTGACGTGTGATATGGATGCAGGAAAAACACTTCTAATCTCTATTAAAGTTTGTAAGGCATCAAACATAGGAACAAGAATGCTGCTTGAAGTAACGTGAATGCCATTGTATACCTGTTAAACTGGAAGTAAGCAAAGGATGATGATGATGAATTCATACATGTCGTGTAACATCAACATGTCAACGCCTTGAGAGAGAGATATTGCAGAAGCAGTCATATATATGTGTGTATGTATTATTCTATTCAATTGTATATTCCATGCACCAACAAAGATTCTGATTATATGTAGCAGATATTGGAAGGAGCATGGGATAATGTATAAGACAATACACAATTTAACATGAAGTTGTAAACAGAGATTTTCACAATTTTCCATGGCCATGGTTAACTAGACAGAAAATGACGTGTCTTGGATGATCGCAAAAATTGGATGACTTTAAAGCTTGGAGACAGGGGAGTTATAGAAAGTAGCACGAGCAGTATGGACCAGTTTCCCCGAGTTCGTCAACTTAAAATTGATTGCAACTACAGTAATATTTCTTCCACTCCTCACTACAGATCCATCCACAACCAACTTTGCCTGCATTTGTTGAAACTATTGAATTATTATCAAATCAACAAAAGTTTTAACTCTAATTAAGAAAAGATTATCAAACATGTGATATTATATTAAGAGTGCTTAGTTCTTACTTTTTTTCGTTGAAAAATATCTATTAGCGGAAAAAATCAAATGATCACGTCTGAAAACTATCAAATAGCTGTTTTCTTTTGCACTGGAATAGCTGTGCGATTCGATAGCTTTCAAGCAGCTGCACCATTTGATAGTGCAAAAGAGTTGGAGAAGAGAAACCCAGCTTTGAAAACTATCAAATGGCGCAGCAAGAAACTGCAATGGCTGCCTAAAAGCATTCATGCTCAAAAAGCCTAATATAAGTCAGAAAACACCTTCTCTATAACAAACCCCAGGCTGCCACAGAGAATTGCTACCACACTAAGCACTTTTCTTACAATGTATATTTGATCAGGCAATATGTAGTTTACTAATTCAGCCTATAATTCATTTTTGGCTACACAGTCTCCAACTAGACAACCAACAGATTTCACATCTAGACAGCACAAGAAACCCACACTTCCCTGTACTACAAAGAGACCCTTTTGAATCAGCTGTTTTTCTGCTAAATTAAGCTTCTTAAGGAGTTGAAGAAGACAAATCCAGCTTTGGAAACTATTGAATGGCACAGCAAGAAACTGCAATGGCTGCCTAAAAGTATTCACACTCAAAAGTCTAGCATAAGTCTAAAAAGGTATCCTCCATAGCAAACTCCAGCTGCCACAGAGAATTGTATCATAGCTAAGACTTCTCCAACAATGTATATTTGATCAGCTATATATAGTTTTGCTAATTCAGCTAGTAATTCATTTTTGCTACACAGTCTCCAGCTAGACAACCAACAGATTCACATCTAGACAGCACCTGAGAAACCCACACTTCCTGTAATACAAAGGGGCACGCATTTGCTATCTTGTGTTTCAAGATCACCATTTTAAGGTGCCTTTGTTTGCTTGATTATGTTCAGCGTCTTGTTGAACACTTCACAACATATGTTTTTTCCTTTTGCACCAGAGGAAAAAAAGATAATAGCTATAAATAAAATAGCGGGGAAGTCACAGCCCTCAATAAATTTAATTCGGCTTTATGTTGTTAAATCCTCATATTAAACTATGTCCGAAGCAAATCAACAAATTCTACGGAACTCATTTGAAAATCTATACTTGACTTTATTTTATTAAACTGGTGCAATTTTATTAAAAAATGATAAAACTTAAGCGGATAGAGAATTTCAAATAGAATTTAATAATATATTCCAAAAATTATCAGTTTGATGAAATTTTAAATGTTTTGTTTTAATTCCGCATAGTATTTTAACTGAGTTCAATTTTAACATTTCAAGGGAGCTCAATTTCTATTCTTTTAAATTGCAGATCTCTCAAATTATGTGTGAATTTCCAAATGAATTACACAAAAAATAAATCTTGATATATTCCAGACGTTTCATAGAATTATTATGTTCTCCACTTTTGCAAAGTCCAAAGGGAAGAGAAAACTAAATGAAATTGTTAAAAACTCACGTTTGTAGGAGCAGCAGAGAGATAAGACATGCTCAATTCACCGAGAAACAGCTCCTTATCCTCAGGTACCACCGTCCTAGCACAAGCAATCGACACTTTTTCTGCAACAGCTGCAGCAGCTCCTCCATGTAGCCCACCATAAAAGTTCTACAATTACAAACCCATAAGAAATCAAAAGAAAGAAAAGGATGATAATTCTCCAACTGTTTGCCGAGAAAATGAGGGGAACCCAAATTCACTGCAAAAAGAATCCGACCGGAAATGGAATTCCACGTAGTTAATACCCTAACCGTTGCTCAAAAAGTTAAAGAGTCCCCGAGAAAAATCCAATAAGGATTCGTATAAATACTCGAAATTTTAGTTCATTACGTTAAGTTACATTTCCTCGGCAACCAAATAAAATCCGGATAATGCAAACACGATTTGTAAGCAGTTAAACAAAAAATCAGATAGTAATTGAGAAAAGAAATTTACAGAAATAACGGGTTTAACAGTAAGGAGGCAGGAGAGGCGGCCATGTTGGATGTCGAGAGCTTTGAGATTGTCGCACAGGAGAAGGGAGTAGAGGTCCTTGGAAGGGTACTTTTGTACTGCGGAATCATAGACGGCCATATCCTTAAAGAAACCAAGGATTTTAATCACATATTCGGGATTTACGTCTTTCGTCGAAATAGAAGAAGAAGAAGAAGAAGAAATCTGCTCATGAAGAGGGGTTCTTGAGCTTTTTTCCATTGTTTGTGCTGCGTGACTAGTCTCGGGGAAGAGCATTCAGCACTCTCCCATCCGTACCGGAAGCATATGAATTACATATTATTTATGTCAAAATTAGTTTTTAGAATTACCAAATATACCTTGTATTTTATAATAAATTACAAAACTGATTAGCGGGGGGGAGGGGTGGGACATCCATGAGAAATGAAAAGATTCGTGGGGAGCCCCTGTACTATCTCAAGTTAAACACTTGGTATTACAGCATGCCCCCCAAAACATTATCCATTTTTGTGCCAAAGAACTTGAAATTAAACTTGATCTATAAATCGATATTCATCTATTGAGAGGTTTATCCTAAGTCAATAATTTCCTAACATCAGGCTAATCCGATTTTAATTATCTTACGTAAAGATTGTACTTTATGCATAACTTTTTTCTAATAAAAGTTGAATATTATTATTACTAGTGAAATTTAACCTTTTTCAGATTTGTAAAATTATATCTTGGAGAACAAAGAGTACTTCGATCAAAATAGTATTCTTTGTTATTATTTCTATAAATCTTATTGTGTCCTATATTTTCCTTACAGTTTTCCAGACCAAAAGCTGAAAAAATCATATTAGCCAATGAGATTTAGTAACTTTCTGAGTAATCTAAATTTTTAATAATATACTTTAAAAAATTTTATAGTGTTACGTCTTAATATTTCATAATAATTTATAAAATTTAAGATAATCATAATTTTATATAATCATTCAATAAAATTACTAAATTATTATAAAATATTAAAAAAAAATTACTACAATAATCCAAACCAACCTTGTACCCGCCAATATGATCAAACCATCCCCTTCCACTAAAATGATAGAGAAACGCCCAGAGGATCTTGAATCTTGAATAGTGTGCCAGCCTTGCAACAAAACTTCTTTATTACCATTAATTTTCTCTTCCTTCTGGTATGGCCTAGTAGAAAGTGTTGCTCTTCTAAAATTTTAGTTGCTAATTATTCTTTTGTATCTGTTGATCAAATATATCTGTACGTATAGATATACAAACTAGAAAGTTCCTCAGTTCATTCTTTTCCAAAAGACGTTTTCTCACTTTATACATCATCTACGATTACAGATCTACGAACAAATAAAAGAAATAGGCAACACTGGTTGTTTGCTGAGAAAATTTCAATGACTGACGAGCCGCTTTTTGTTACTAAAAAGACCGAGGAAAAATGAAGTTCAAACTACAGCGAATACCTAATCGTGGCTCAAAGATTAGGAGGAACTCGAGATCTCAAGGAAATTGCAATTATTCTTCAGTACAAATTCTTAAAATCTTAGTTCATTTCACTCTCATAGATTCCTACTCCAACATTTATCTCAGCATCAAACAAAATCAGGCAATGAGAAACAGGACTCGTAAGCATCAAACGATAGATCAGAAAGCAAGAGAGATATCGGAGAGAAATTACAGTCTTACAGAGATTGCTGGTTTGACAGAGAGTAGGCAGGAGATGTAACCAGGTCGGACGTCCAGGGTCTGAAGATTGCTGCAAAGAAGTGGAGAGTATAAATCCTTGGAAACGTAATTGCGGACAGTGGAATCAGAGACACCGACGTCCTCCAAGAATCCAAGGAGAGAAATTATATGTTCCGAATTCATGTCTTTTATGATTGTTTTTGTCATCGTCGTAGTCGAAATTGAGGAGAAGGAAGAAGAAATCTGCTCCTGAGGAGGAACTGATGGTGTTTTCGCCATTTTCATCTCTCCGATTTCTCCTCAATATTTTGCTTTCTTATACCAGATTCAGGAAGAAGAATTGATTTCTTTTATACGAAAATAATAAATTGTGATGGCCAACCAAGGCCTTGGGTCGGTAAAGACTTCAGTGGCCGATTTAAGACAAAAAAAAAAAAAAAAAATTTTATTTCATAACTTGTAAATTATATTTAGGGAATATTTTTAATCATAATTTTATTTTTCCTTTTCAGATTAATTATTATTTTTAGTTAATTTATTAATTTACTAATTTCCCTTAACAAATTAATTTACTAATTTTTTAACCCCTTTTGAATAAAATAGATATCACGACATACCTTTCTAAAATATTTAATAAATTCAAATTACTTTTTTTTTATTACTAATTTCAGGACATCTTATTTATCAATATAATAAATTTAAACTATAGAGTTTTCTCTTTTTTCAACTATAAAGTTATTGAAAATTTCAAAACTACTTAAATTTATGTCGAATTTGGAATTTATAAAATTTTAAGATTAAATAGATCAAAATTAAAAAAAAATTCAAAAAATTAGAAGAGAATGACTTAAAAACCAATAATTTTTTTTTTTTGGTATAATGACAAAATTTTGAGACACAAAATACAATTATTTGTCAATAAAAAACTCTAATTTAATTCTTTTAGTAATTTATTTGGAATACAAATAATATTTAAATATTTAATTTTGTATAAATATATGACATAAACATAAATAAAAAGATAAAAAAACATAATTGGAAATTAGAATTGGGCCTAGCCCACTTCAATTCAGGCCCATATTTGCCAAAACAACCCGACCCAATTATTTCCTCTTTACCGTCGGTTCATACCCAATAAAAATAAATAAAGAAAAAAGTTTGAACTAATGACAAACCATATTGCCGTTTGGACTCTCCCCCCTCTCATCTTCTTCCCCACTCTACCCCTCTCTCTCTATTTTTTTTTTTTCTTTTTCCCGCGAAACTCTCTGCAAAACCTAATCCTTCCCAGCTTCTTCACTTCATTCATCACTCTCTTCTTCAAAACACGAGACTTCTTTTTCTTCTTCTTGAATTCTTATTATCTATTGATTGTCAACTAAGTTTTTCTTAGCTTCCATAAATTTCACTTGGCCGTTACAGTATCGTTTTTTAAACACAAACTACGGAATATTTTGTGAAACTAAAGAAGCTTTTTAGGGTTTCTTTCAATCTAAAACGCTAGCGTTTACCGTTTTTTTGCTCTTATCCGCATATATGTGTATATAATATATACACATGTATGTATAATTTTTTTTTTTTTGTGTTTGACCGTATTATTAATTTATCGCTGAACTTCAAAATTAAACACTCTTTGATTACTTATTGTTTGATCTTTGTATTTTGGAGATTTTGGGCTTTGTTTTCAAGCTTCATTAAGATCATTTATAATACTATTTTTCAAGATTGAAGAGTTTTTTCGTGGTGTTTTTCTTCAATTTTCTTTTCTCAATTGAATGTGTTGATTGGACTTGGGTTATGTATCAAGATGGGGGAAGATAAGGAGCCAAATTTTGTAAGGGAAAAAGAGGGTTTAGACGCAGCGAGTCCTTCGGTATCTAATGGTAGCTGCGACCATCTTCCATTGAAGCCAGCCTCTGTTCATGGGTGAGCTTCCCTATTTATTCATCCATACTTGTTGTCTTGTTTATGTTGAATGAGAATATAGGGTGTGTTTAATTATTATTTGCAATTTAGCATTTCGGACAAAGTTGAATTATGAAGAGCAAAAGGAAATAGTTTCTCAATTTTGGGTCTGGAATCTTGAAAAAATTAATTTCTCTAATAGGAAATGCATTAATTTGAAATCAGAAACGTTTAGAAGAATTAATTCTCTAGATATTTGATACAAAATTCATGTCCCTAAGCTTAGTAGGCCAAATCCACAACCACTTAACTATATCTTGCTTGTATTAGTTCCATTCTATCGGCGAAGAGAGCCTCTCATTCTTTTGTTGTTCCTATCTTACATAGTCTAAATGGACTAGGAATCAGAATATAATATACATAGGATAAAATTTGAATGAAAACAGTAGTATAATTCAAAGATAATTACATATTCAATTCATTTTAGGTGCTTTGGTAATTTCTTCCTTGATATGAGAGAATAGGAATTAGCGGTTATGAAATTGAAAATTTGGGTAACGTTTTTCTAATTATGCGTTACATGTGTAAATAATGATTAACATCTATATATCACATAATTAGAACCTAATACTTGAATGATCATAAGATGGGTTTGAACAACGTACAGTGTTAATGAGAGATTTGAGTGAAGTTTGTTCAATTATTTATCAGATATATAAATTATGACTTACTTTTATATTTGACATAAGTAAGATGCAAAAATTGAATATCAATAAAAAAGTTTGAACGGGCTGCAATGTTAGTATATTTAGTACAATACATATACATATTTTTTATTGCTTATGCAGCTATGAATGTGGTAGAGAACTTGTGTTCTTAGGCAAACATTTGTTGGGAATTTCATCCTTTATTGCATTTTGTAGGAGGATAACAGGTCCTACTAGAAGATCAACTAAGGGAGGCTGGACACAGAAGGAGGTTAGTTTGTAATTTCTACTTTTCCGTTAAGCTGATATTCAGATGAGTATTTATTGCTTTTCCATTTTTTGCTTAGCGTTATCCCAAATTATACTAACTTTTGCTCCTTGCTAGTACTTTCACTTGGAAAGTATGTAAAGATTGGATATACCAAAAAAGAATAAAAATAAGTTGATAGACACGTCTCTCTTTCATTTGAAAAGATCTATAGTATCGGTGGTGAAATGTCTAGAGAGTAGTCACTGACCCTTCTCTTTATCCTAGGATGAGAATTTGATTTCTGCTGTTCAGAAGTACAAAGGCAAAAACTGGAAAAAGATCGGTGTGTATATCTGATTCCAATATGAAATTAGAGCATGAAATTGCAATTTTCTTACTGTTTTACAGTATATCTGATTCCGATATACGAACTGTCATACTAGAGTAGAAATTTGTTATGATTTCTTTGATTTCACATGTTACAACTGTTGTTGCAGCTGAATGTGTCCCTGATAGAACAGATGTGCAATGCCTGCATCGCTGGCAGAAGGTTCTTAACCCTGATCTTGTTAAAGGACCGTGGAGCATCGAGGTAAATATCTTGTTGGGAATATTTTCCCAGAGCATCCACAGAATTAACATGGTTTTGGTTCACTTAACTTTTGTCTCTCCAGAAATATCAACTGTAATCCAAATATCAACAAATTATAATGAAATTCATGTATCAATTTTCTCGCAGAATCCCTTCAATCCTGGCATTTGTGTGCATGAACATATGTATATGTATATCTATATACATGCAAGTATATAAATACTCAATTTGCTTTTAGGTCACTCTACGGTTTCTTTTATTTTCCCTATTTCCAGATGTACTCTGATCTGAATCTTGTGATTAATTTTCTTTGCTTTGTGCTTTTCCTTCGTTTTTTTTTGTTTCTTTTCTTTTCAAATCCTCTTTTCCTTCGTGTGTATTAGCGTTCCTACTTATGTTTCCCTAATCCCTTTTTTCATCTTAGAAATTTTTGGTCTAAATGGTTTGACAAATGCCCTTGTGTTCTTAACTGCATGTTTCACTAATCTTTCACTGTCCTAGATTTCAGGTATCAATAGCTTCTTACGTTGTTACTCTCATTGATCTCCCTATGTACAGAAACAGAGCTTCTGCCTCCCTTATCCCCCTAGCTCACTTGGACCAGTGTCTTTCCCAGGATAGAAGAGATTTGACAAATAGCTACCTCTTAAAAATTCATGACTTATACAAAAGGATATGATATATATATGATCTATCTTGATCTCATCAAGATTGAAATACTTTAGAAGTGTCTTTTCATGTAACAGAAGGACAACACTTACACCATTTAGTTTTTTTTTTCTTCTTTTTGGGCAGTAAATATGGATTCCATCTTTCCATGATTGAACAGATTAAACTAGCCAAACCTAGTATATAATCCTATATTCTTAATTCTCTTTTCTTGATTGTTTGAATTTTTTTTTTCTCTATATTAGCACAACAGCATCAGTTAATGCTAGTTTTGCATACAGTTTGGAAAATCTGGTTGTGAAGTTTATACTGAGTGATTTTAGTTCTAAATATTCTGTGGATTTTCAGGAAGATAACCTTATTATTAAGATAGTCGGGGAGCAGGGTAATAAGAAATGGTCTGAAATAGCAAAACACCTGCCTGGACGCATAGGCAAGCAATGCCGAGAAAGGTCTGTTAATAATTTTTTAGCACAGCTTCTGTGATGATCACTTCAATTATCCTTATGAATCAATCAAAAGACAGTTACTAATAATTTGTTCAGGTGGTACAACCACCTAAATCCAGAAATAAAAAGAAGTGCATGGACCAAAGAGGAGGAGATTATTCTAATTACGGCACACAGGGAACACGGAAACAAGTGGGCTGAGATAGCCAAGCTTCTTCCTGGAAGGTATTGCTTGGGGACTTCGTAAGTGAGAATATGATAGAAACTCATATCTGCTAAGTTGGAGCTAAGTAGATTGAGGATTTTGTCTGTTTTTCTTTACTGTAAAAGCTAATATGATTTGTTTTCTTCTGTCCTTGGAAATTAACAGGACTGAAAACTCAATAAAGAATCATTGGAATTGCTCAGTAAGGAAGAAAGCAGAATTGTTTTCAAGCAGCAATCCTGAACTTCGCATTTGTGGCCTAAACAACGAAAACAGGAAGTCTGACACAATAAAAATTAATACTAGTCGCCAGGACTTGAATCACAACAGAAGGATGGATTCATTGTCACTAGATTTGCCTCTTGGAAATGAGATTAAAGATGCAGACAAGGTGCAGAAAATAACTGGCTCTGGCAATGAAGATGCTCTAGCAACTAGTCTAAATGGTGGAAACTGCAGAGAAGGTTGCACATACGAAGAATCAAAACATATAGGTTCCTCTAACCAGACTAGTCCATTCCATGACACTTCTTGTGTCAGTTTTCCTCATTTACTTACAAGAACTGATGAGGCTGGTAAACATATCAACTTCTCGCCGTCCAGAAAAATGATGGAACCGTTGTCTGCTCTGAGCACTCCCTTATCTTCTCATGGGTGTAATGGGAAAACTAGAAGCTCGCTTTCGGACCATGGTACCGAGGAAGTAGCTTTTCCTGTTACCTCGGAGGTTCTTGCAACTCCACCAAGCCAAAACGAAGGTGAATTACCAACCAGCTGCATGACTCCTGAATCTATACTGAGAATTGTAGCAAGTACTTACAAGAATACACCATCTATTATAAGAAGACGAGGCTCTTCAGCTCGGAAGCGAAGCAGAAATGGCTGTTCTTGTTCACTAGAAGAACGAATTGATAAGTTGGAGAACAGCCATGAGATACAGCATCCGCGTTTTTGTGACAATATTAATGATGTTCAGCAGGATTTGGTCTCTTCTCTGAAGTCTCAGAAGCTTGAAAGTTGTGCAACAAATTCCATGGAAAAGAGTCCGAGTCTGGAAACTGTAAAGAGATGGTGACTTGCGCCAATGCAAAGGATTTTGTTATATTTGAGATGACATATGTTTTTTTCCTTCTTCTAAAGTCAATATTATTCCCTTTTTTTTTTCTTCTTCTTTTCTTCTTTTGCTAAAGATGCGGAGCCTTAATTATGGCTCAGTGACGAAGCCCCATGAACCAACAGGGTAAGTTTAACATGAATTCCCAAGATTGATATGCAGTTAAAAATGGAGGGTTAAATAAAATTTTAGTTGAAGTATTTAAATTTTCACCATTAAAAAAATAAAAAATACATATCACCATCACACATATTTTTGTATAATATTAGTTCTAAATGGTGAAAAATTAAAAAAAAAAATTTAAAATAAATTTTATACATAAAATGAATACACAATTACTTTCATATGTGTAGTAAAATACCATGTCATTTCTAAATTAATTCTTAATATAAAAATTAAAAAATATAGAGTTTAATCAACACACACTGGGAAAAAGGTTGTTTGAACAATTTCAAATAATATCATTTTGGGCGATGTTCAAATACAATGGGTGTGGGCCCATTAACATCTTGGGCCGGACTAATCGGGTCAAACCAAGCCCGTAACGTGGCCGACCGTGACGTCTCAAAGAAAGTCTGATACGGCATGAAAGTTGACTCATTGTCTCATACGGATACGTCACAGCTCAATTCCCGAGTCAAATATAGAAGACGATTGTCTGATTCTAATTCTCACATTCCCCGATTTTAGATTGGTCGCAAAATCAGACGAAGAAGAAAACAACAATGCCTCGGGGAACGCTTGAAGTTCTTCTCGTTGGAGCCAAAGGTCTCGATGGCACAGATTTTCTAAGTAAGCTATTTCGTTTTATTCCTTCAAT